GCACTGGTGGTACTTTCACCCAGGATGACTTCAAGAATTTTATGGAGTTTATACAGATGAAAACGACAGCTAATATTGCATCAGGAAAAGAGTGCATGAGTTCACCTATTGAGCAGCCTCCACAAACCCTAGCCAATACTGTGTCATCATATTTTATAAGTGAAGGTACCATCCTCTCTATCAACTTGTTAGTTGTGATAAGTCTGGTTGGATTGTGGACAGTGGTACTACCCATCACATTGTGTAACACCCCGTGTTTCACTAAATATTTATATTAGATATAAATATTTACCAAATAGAACTATTTACTTATAATTAAATATTTTGCTATATATATATATATATATATATATATATATATATATATATATATATATATATATATATATATATATATATATATACCCAAATATGTTACTACAGGCTTTGGTTATTTATTTTATAATCTATGATATTAAATACCCAAATCCCTAATTTATTGATATGGTCCATGATGGACCGTGGACCTTTGTCTAAAATAAAGCCCGTTAGACTTTTGATAAAATAAGGAGAGCCCTTTTACCTTTCAGATTTGTATTAGGAATCCTAAGCCTTTTACTTTTTCAGATTTGTATTAGGAATCCTAAACCTCTTACCCGTTCAGATTTGTATTAGGGATCCTAACCTATATATAGGGGGAATTAGAAGGCATTAGAACCCTATCACCCATATCTCCCTCTCCCCACACGAAATCCCCTCCCAAGAACATAGCCAAAGGAATTCCCCACCGCCAAGCGTAGGGAAATCAATCGGAGGAAAATCTTGGAAAAGAACCTTAATAGCCAAGGAAGGATTAATTAAAGCTAAGAGGTAACCCATGTCTTACAAAACCTATTTTCCTTGTTATATCTTGATTATTGTCTCCTTTGATAATTGTATGTGTGATTCTGTTATCGAGTTTTGATAGAGCTTTGCCTAGGGTTTATGTTGTGTTTATTTGATAATCTTGATGATCTTGATGTTGTGATTGATTATATGTGTGATCTTGCGTTTGGGTATGTCTAGAGCTTGTCATTAGGGTTTATTTCATGGGATCTTGGTGTTCTTGTGATTCTTGTTGTTCTTACATGATTAGGAGTTGATTCTTAAATCTTGATACGTTAAGAGCATGTAATTAGGATTTAATTGTGTTTGTTTCTTGGCTTAATTCTTGTGGTTCAAGTCTATATTGTTGTTGTTGGGTATTGGGATGTATTCGGACTTGGTTTTGGGTTTAACGGATGAATTTCCGGGTGAGAAAAATGTCAAGATACCATCTTACCAGCGGGGGGTCGGTGGGGGGGACGAACCCCCACCTGACCACCCGCCAGGTACACCCCACGGTGCTGGGCGGTCGGCGGGTGGACGACCACCCGCCGTGCACCCACTGGTACATGGGACCGCCCACTGGCGGGTGGTCGGCGCGTGGTTGACCACCCGCTGGTACGGGCGGGGTGGTGCGTTGTTCGGTCTCGTTTTGTGTTTCTTCGTGCCCCGTTTGATGTTTATGTGTCTCGTTTGATATTTCTGGTACCGTTTTAGGAATTGTGAGTCGTGGTTATTGCATGTGGGTTAATTAGTATCCCGTTGACCTAGGATGAGATTTGTATGATCCCGTGGGTGCCTTGTGGTTGTCTCGTTACCTTGGGAAGTAGAGTTTAAGCTGTATCTTGTGGGTTGCGTGTTTATGTTGATGCCACTTGTTGATGTGATTGTTGTGCCTTCCCTTTGACTATCCATTGCTATGTGTTGATGTGTATCGATTGTTGTTGTTATTGAGCGGTGGCCATTGTTGTTGTTGTGCGTGTGATTGATTGATTGTACCTGATGATATATAGAATGTGATTGGTGGAAAAAGATTGTTGGAGTTTGGCACAACGAGTGCCCGGTCATTGTGCTAAAGGCACAGACCATTCGGTTATCGTGCTGAAGGCACGAATCAACCTTGATTACTTTGCTAAAGGCATAGATCAAGTTATAAGCACTACGGTACCATGTCGAAGCTATATGAGCTGACCCCTTGGTAGTGGTGCTAGAGGCACAGATCATGTGAATGGCACTGCGGCGCTATCAGATCGGTGGCATGTTGGAGATATGTTGGAGAGGAGCCATGAAGTGTTCCGGAGGGATACGAGGGTGGTGTTATAAGGGTGGCCTGGAGGTACATGTTGGAACTGATATAAGGATGGAGAGGAGTAAAGGTTGGAACTTGGTATAAGGCTGGATTGTGATGCTATTGTTGTTATTGCCTTTGCTTGTCGTAGTGACTTGTTGTTGTTATTGTTTGTTATTGCTGAGCTTTGTGGTTATCTTATCTTGTGAGTTAGGACGTGTGCTAGTATCTTTATGATGATTCGTAATGCTAAACCTGTTGTTATGCCTTGAGTTTTGATCTTGGTTTTAAAGCTAGATTTTGTTTAGGATTATTTATGTATTCCAGTCTAAAAATAGTTTTCTTATATCTATCTATATTGTACTTAACTCGTGGGAGTGGGTTACCAGCATTATTCGCTGACGGTTGTTATACCGTATGTTTTTCAGGTGCAGATTAGTAGCTCCAGAGTGCGCTAGATGGATACGAGGACTTAGCTCAGATAGTTTAGTATTAGTTAGATGGCCTGTGAGCCTTGGCTTGTATTATGAATACTAATCACAGTTTATGCTTATTTAGTTAGTTTAGCCTGTGCATCTAGGTTCTCAAACCTAGACGTGGCATAGCACCCTGATACTTATGTTGTTAGTTTCGCTTTGTTTGGATGGATAATGATAGATTTGCCTTTATTTTATAGTATTTAATTGTTTTAAAAATTAGGGGTGTTACACATTGTTTGTGATTTAAAGTTGCTTAGCACTAAGAGAGGGTCCACAATCTTCATGTAAAACTGCCAAATGGCCAGCAGACAACCATCACCTACACTGGCTTAGCGCATTTGTCTGATGATTTTATTTAGAAAAATGCTCTATATGTGTCTGGTTTTCACTACAAACTGATTTCAGTAGGAGCCTTCATCAAGAACTCCAATTATACTATGAAAATCTATTCTAATCAGTGTGTTATACATGCTGCTACTCATGGAAAGGTGATTGGAAAAACTGAGCTGCACAATGACCTTTATCACCTAGTTTTTCCTACTGTTGGTACTGTATGCAATTCAGTTTCTGTTAGTAACAAATGTAATCTGTGGCATGCTAGGCTAGGACATGCCTCACATTCCAAGTTACAATTTTTGAAAGATTTGGAACCTACTATTCAAGTCAATAAAGAGTTGATATGTGATTCTTGTCACTTTGCTAAACAAAAAAGAGTCCCTTTTCAATCTAGTTCCTCTATTGCAACTAATTGTTTTGATCTATTACATATGAATATATGGGGACCCTATAAAACAGCCACAATACATAGTCATCATTATTTTCTCACCATATTGGATGATTACAACAGAGCAGTTTGGGTATATTTGATGAAAGTGAAGTCTGAGGTCAGAAGCCTGGTTAGAGGGTTTTTCAGTCTAGTTGAAAATCAGTTTGGAACAACTGTTAAATGCATAAGGTCAGATAATGGGCTTGAGTTTAGTATGGTTGAGTTTTATAGTCAGAAGGGCATTGTCCATCAAACCTCTCGTATCCATACACCTCAGTAGAACAGCAGGGTTAAGAGAAAGCATGGCCACTTGTTGTCAATAGCTAGAGCTCTTAGATTTCAATCCAATCTTCCTGATTTTTTTTTGGGGTGAATTTGTTTAACATGCAGCTTACTTGATTAACAGGCTCCCCTCTGCTGCTATCAATAATCAAATCCCATACCAAGTGCTGACTAAAAGGACCCCTCAATACCATCATTCAAAAGTCTTTGCATGCCTAGCTTTTGCCACCACAGTAGGGCCCAAATCCAAGTTAGATGCCAAAGCCAGGAAATGCATTTTTATTGGGTATGGTAACAACACAAAGGGGTACAAAGTGTATGATATCTTATCAAAAGAATTGTTTATGTCCAGAGATGATGTTGTATATTTACAAGTCTTTCCTTTCCAACAAGGCAATAATCAAGAAAAGGGATCTCATCAAATGATTCTTCCCACAAGGAGTAGTATTTCTGATGAGGATTCTGAGATTCCTCAACACCAGAAACAAGTCAGTAGTATCAGTGAGCAGATTTGTGATCATTCTCCACATCAGATTCTTGAGCAACTACCTGATGTAACAGATATTCAGAACCAGTCTAGTGATCATTCTGGTCAGAATAATTTCAGTTTACCTGTGAGAGCCATGAGTAGTCACCTGCTGTGCCAAGGCCACCAGAAAATCATCCTCCACAGGCCATCAGAAAGTCCACAAGGCAGAAACATGCTCCATCCTACCTACAGAATTATGTCTGCCAAAATGTAGCTGTAAAAACTACTCCTCATTCTTTATGTAAAGTCCTGGATCACAGAAGACTGGAGCAGAATTTCCAAAATTTTGTCATGAATATCACTCACCATTATGAACCTAAATCTTATCAGGAAGCAACCAAATATGAATGTTGGAAGAAAGCTATGGAGGAATAAATTACAGCCTTAGAGCAGAATGGTACCTGGGAACTTGTAGATCTCCCTCCTTACAAGAAACCTATTGGATGTAGGTGTGTATACAAAATTAAGCACAAAGCTGATGGCACCATTGAAAGGTACAAGGGAAGACTTGTGTCAAAGGGATACAATCAAGTCTTTGGGATTGATTACATTGATACCTTCAGCCCAGTGTCCAAAATGACCACCATAAGAACACTTCTAGCAATTGTAGCAGCTAAAGGATGACACTTATATCAAATGGATGTAAATAATGCATTCCTCCATGGAGATTTAGAAGATAAAGTTTACATGAAACTACCTCCTGGTGTTTCAGGGAAATGGAATGGTGAAGTGTGCTAATTAAAAAAATTCCTATATGGCCTGAAACAGGCCAGTATACAGTGGAACACCAAGCTAAGCCTTGCATTGCAAAACATGGGATTCAGACAGTCTATCCCTGACAACTCTCTATTTACCAAAGGTGAAGGGCACTCATTTGTGGCTTTGCTAGTTTATGTGGATGATATAGTTGTTGCTAATGCAGATTTGGGGATCATACAAGGCATCAAGAATTAGCTCAATATTAGTTTCAAAATCAAGGACTTAGGTCCCTTACAGTATTTTCTAGGCCTGGAAGTTTCCAGACAGAATAAAGGGAAAGCTATCTGTCAAAGGAGGTATGCCCTTGAATTGCTTAAAGACACAGGGTTCACAGACTGCAAGCCTGTACATAGTCCCACAGTACCATCACACAAGCTCAGCAAACTTGGTGGTAAACCTATTGAAGACAACAGTCAGTATAGGAAAATAGTTGGGAAACTCCTATACTTAACCATCACTAAACCTGATATTTGCTTTGCAACATAGCAACTCTCTCAATTCCTTGACTGCCCCACTAATCTTCATATGCAAGCTGCTCATAGGGTACTCAGTTACATCAAGGGTGCGTCTGGCCAACAGTTGTTCTTTCCATCCCTATCTGATTTGAAGATAAAAGCCTTCTTTGTTCCAGATTGGGGAGCCTATGTTGATACAAGAAGGTCTTTAACTGGTTTCTGCATTTTCATAGGGAATGCGTGCCTTAGTATCATGGAAATCAAAGAAGCAAGTGACTTGTCTCGTAGTCCTCATCAGAAGCTAAATACAGAGCATTGGTAGCTACAACATGTGAAGTTCAGTGGCTTTCTTATTTGCTAACTGAGTTGGGAATTGATCAGAATGATCCTGCTGCTGTTTATTGTGACAGCAAATTAGCTATTGCCATTGCAGAGAATCTAGTGTTTCATGAGCGAATTAAACATATTGAACTCGATTGCTATTTGGTGAGGGAAAAGCTTAGTAAACGTGTAATCAAACTGTTTCATGTTGGTTCTGAACAACACCTAGTAGACACCTTCACCAAGACACATTGCCCCAGCTCCTTCCACAGTTATATCTC